AAGCTTCTTGAACTAACATTCCATTTTTCATCGAACTCTAGAATTTTTTGGTGGTTGTCTCTTCAGGAAAAGAAGAAACAAGAGACATCAAGCTCTTCTAACATGCTAGTGACATGTTTTTTTTACTGGTGTCCCACATACTCCTGAGGCGCCATACAGGTTTTCAGATTTCTGTTCTTCAGTTTCTATTGTTTCTTTCTATTTCAATGTCACTGACTCTTATCTTCATTCTGTGACTGAGTTTGAACTTTCTTCTTGGTGCTTGTCCTACATTCCTGTCTGTCGGCTGAGAACTTCTTTTTTTTTTAAGATTTATTTTATTTTTATTACAAAGACAGATATAGAGAGGAGGAAAGAGAGAGAGGAAGCTCTTCCAATGACTCACTCCCCAAGTGGCTGCAATGGAGGGGCTGAACTGATCCGAAGCCAGGAGCCAGGAGCTTCTCAGTCTCCCACACAGGTTCAGCGTCCCACGGCTTTAGGCCGTCCTCAACTGCTTTCCCAGGCCACAAGCAGGGAGCTGGACGGGAATTGGAGCTGCCGGGATTAGAACTGGCGCCCATATGGGATCCTGGGCACATCCAAGGCGAAGAGTTTATCTGCTAAGCCACTGCGCCGGACCTGGGTATAAATTTCTACCCATATACTTCAAATATTTTTCACCCAAGGAGTGTATTTTTTAAGAAGAATATATTTAAAATAGCTCCTTGAATGTCTCTGTGTACTGTTTCTAATATATGGATCATTTAGCTATGTATTTACTTTTTTTTCCCTTAGGCATACAGTAAAAAGGTTAAGCAACAGAAGTAACATTGGATTATTTTGATCTTGACTATAAAGGGAAAAGGTCTAGTGGCATTTTTAAAAGCTATCAAAACGAGTTGCTCTTTATTCCTAGTTTTCTAAGATTTTTATTAACACAAATGGATACTGAATTTTAGTAAAATTATCGTTTGTGTCCTTTGAGATTATCATAAAATTTCACCCTCTAAACTATTAATGTGGTGGATTATATTGATAAATTCTAATCTTCTGCTTTCTCCAGGTTAATAGCAGAGAACTGAATCAAATTGGAATAGCCAGGACACAGACCGATGTTCATAGGAGCTGCCAGTGTCACAGGTAGTGGCTCTGCTTACTCCATGGCCAGGAGACCAGGGAGCTCATTTTCCTTATAGTTTTACCTTTTTAAGAACGTTCTTTCATAGATGCTTACAATAGGTCACCCTTATGAGGGGGCTTCTTGCTTTTATCCGTAAAGTTTCTAAAAATATTCATGCAAAGATAAACCTTTCCAGGGGATACTTTGGACACCCCATAGAAGTAAATTTGGCAAGTTTGGATGTTGAGATCGAAGCTGCCAGCTTACACAAAGATGTGGAAAAGGGGAAGTGATGTGTGATGACTCAAATTTTAGCAGCAAACATAGAAAGTGAGCTAAGATTCGTTCTCACAGTATACACATTCTTGTTACTCTTGCGTAAATAAATAGGAGGGGGCTGCTGTTGGTTTATACTGTTGAGTGTATATTTATAAAAAAGGCTAAACTTCTGTGAATCCACGTACGAGTTCCAAGCACTCCAAATTTTTTTAAAAAGATTTATTTTGTATTGGTGTGAAAGGCAGAGTTAGAGAAATTTCCATTGGCTAGTTCACTCCCCAAGTGGCTATAACATCTGCAGCTCAATCAGCCTGAAGCCAAGAACCAGGAGTTTCTTCTGGGCCTCCCATGTGGGTACAGGAACCCAAGCACCTGGGCCATCCTCTGCTGCTTTCCCAGGTGCATTAGCAGGGAGCTGGACTGGCAGTGAAACATCTGGGACTCAAACCAGGGCCCACATGGATGCCACCGTCACGGATGAGAAGTCTTAACATGCTGTGCCACAAAGCCAGTCCCTCTAATTGTTCCCCATCTTTGCCGATATTTGTTATTTTCTGTCATTTCCCTTTCAAATGTCACCCAAGGCTGGCATTGTGACTAGCTAATTTGCTGATTGTGACACTGGCATCCAAATCAGAGTGCCAGTTTGAGTCCTGGCTTCCAGCTCCCCTCCCTGTTAATGGGCCTGGGAAAGCAGCAGATCGTGGACCATGGGCTTGGGTTTCTGCCACCCAGAGCAGGATGAGACTCCTGGCTTCAGCCTGGCACAGACCTGACTGAGGTAGTCATGTAGGGGCGTGAAGCAGGAAATGGAAGCCACTTCTCTCTCAAAGAGAAATATTAAAAACATTTTAAAAACATTAAAATATACATTTTTGCTGTAATAGTAATAATTATGTCTTTCACACTTCCCCACTGACTAATGACATTGAGCATTTTTCAGGAGCTCTCATCTCTGTTCCACTTATTTTCAGTCTAAGTTTTAATGTTTATAAAATTCCTCAGTTTTCCCACTCTTTCAGCACACAGTTTTGTAGCTTATTCGTATCATCCAAATTTTAAAATATTGGCGTCAAGTGACTCATCATTTTCTGTCTTCCTTCTTAACAATTGCAGGATCTTTACTTTCCTCGCCTGTATTCATAATGTTTCCTTTCGGGGCTCATCATAAGTTCCTTAGTTTTGTTAATGGACGAGGCTTCACTTCTGCAAGACACAAGTGCTCAGCACACTCTCCAGACCCTCTGTGACAGGGCAGGAGCACTGTGCCTCAGAGACCCGCTAGCCTTAGCAGTCACTTTCGGCAGGATTTACAAGTTGTCCCAGAACTTCCTGTACTCCCCTTATCACGCCTGCTTAAAAGACTGCTACCTGTGCCAGAACACGAATTGGAGCACTGCACATGCTTTCGTTAGGGTAGCCACAGGTCTCCCCTAATGGCATAGCTGACACATTTCCCAAGCAGAGTGAGACTGGATAGGACCAGCCTATCCCCTAAAGACTTAGTGGAACTGCACATCTGCCCCTCGGGCAGACCTATACTCAACACCTGTGATGTTCAACTCCCACCGTGTATTCAGTCAAAAGCGCCCTGTGTTTTTTACCTGAAATATCCCTTCATCTGAATGTAGCCACTCTTATTTTCTTGCAGCGTTCTGTGCATGTCTAGGATCACCCTTTTGTGTCGTCCTCCTCGACAGGCCATCTAAGTGGAACCTCAGTCCAGACCAGCTGTCCTCACACTTGAGTTCAGTGTTTCCGAACACGTCACGATGAACTAGAGCTGCAGTGTTTTCACCAGTTCAAGAGCTAATGAACTAGCCTGAGCAATGACTGACTCAGGTCTTGGCTACACAGTACACTGCCACTATTGTAGGCAAAAAGTAAAGAAATGTTCTTAGGGCCTGGTGCGAATTCAGAAAGCTCAATCCTCACTTTGCAGGTACCAGAATCCCACATGGCTGCTGGTTCATGTCCCAGCTGCTCCACTTCCCATCCAAGTCCCTGCCTGTGGCCAGGAAGAAGCAGTGGAGGATGACCCAAAGCTTTGGGATACTGTGCCCACATGGGAGACCCAGAAGAAGCTGCTGGCTCCTGCTTTCAGATCAGCTTAGCTCCAGCCATTGCAGCTACTAGGGCAGTGAACTAGCAGATAGAAGATCTATCTCTCTGTCTTTTCTTCTATTCATAAATCTGATCTTTCCAATAAAAAAATAAAACTTTTTTTCACAAAAAAATGCTCTTAGATCTAAGTGTATAAATTTGGCATTTGGTATAGCAGTGAAGAAAAGACAGAAGTTCAGTCCTGACTACACTTCAGATCCCAGCTCCGGAGAATGTACACCCTGGGAGGCCGCAGGTAATGGCTCCAAAACTTAACTCTGTTCTACAAATCTGGAAGACCTGAACAGAGTTTCAAGCTGCTGGCTTCAATGTTACCATGTGGGGATTTGGATGGAAATGGCTCTCTTTCTGTCTCCCTCCCTCTCAAGTAAACATTTTAATGGTCCAGGATGAGGGCCTAATTGGCTAACCCTCCAAAAGTAAGTGCCAGAATCCCATATGGCCACAAGTCATGTGCCAACTGATATGATTCTAAACAAGCTCCCTGTTTATATCCAGGAAAAGCCACAGAAAACAGCCCAAAGACTTACAACCATGCACCTACTTGGGAGACCAGGAAGAAGCTCGTGGATCCTGGCTTTGCATAGACTAGACTCCAGCCATTGAGACCACTTGGGGAATAACCCAGCAGATGGAAAACCTTTCTGTCTTTACTTCTCTCTATAAATCTCACTTTCCAATAAGAAATAAAAATAAAAACAAAAAGATAAGTAAAAATTTTTATAGAACAAATACAGGAAATTTGGGTACTTGGGTACTGAATAGTCAAAAGTCATATACTGAAGTAAACAGTTTTTTGTTATTTTCTATTTTAAAAGAATTTTGGCAAACTAATCAAATCACAACAGGAAGCCACACTACCATCTCCTGAGTCTTTCCCAAAGGGAAATTGGCAAATAGTCATGCTGCAGTGGTGGGGACACAACTGCTGGCCTGCTGGGACCAGCACAGGGACCCTTACCCACAATCTCCACTTCTTGCTTGGACTTCTTGACCCTTAGCTCATAGGTGCTGACATGCTAGGAAATTCTGAGAGAGGAGGAGGGGGACTGGTCTCATCTCAGCAATTCTAAGCTAGCGCCCCACAATTTAGAATTGTCAATTCCTATGAGTCAGATGATTTCTTTGATGAAGGAGATGAACTACGTGAGCTGGAAAGGTACACTTGTTTTCTTCCATAAAGTCAGAATCAGGACCTAGCACAGGTCTGGCTGCCATCTCTAGGGAACGCATCCACATCTATATGTTCGTTTTCATCTGCAACACAGGTGCAATGCCAGCTGTATGAGGTAGTTTGCACACTACAGATGCACAGCCTTGGTTAGCAAGCTGGTTTCCTAACAGGGAACAGAATGTGACCAGTCATTTGCCCATTGACTGGGTCTATCTAGGTCTTCAAATTCTAGAACACCCTTGCAATATTTCCTTGTCAAACACTTTTTGAGCATGCCATGCAAAGTCATTTTATAGGCAAAGTAAGGAAGAACAGAAACAATTACCTGGCCCATCGGTGAGATCCCCCAAGCAAGTGATAGCAGCTCTTGAGGACCGGGAACTTGTTCTCCTTCTTCCACACATAGACACGCAAAGAGAGATCAAGCGATGAGGTGATTACTCGGCTTGGGTCCTGGAAATGAAAAGTCAAGAGGGCCGGCATGATGTGGCAGCTTAAACCACTTGGAACACAGGCATCCCACACTACAGAGTCCTCTACTGACACAGCTCCCTGCCAATAGATCTGGGAAAGCAGCACAAGATGGTCCAAGAACTTGGGCCCCTGCCACCCAAGAGGAAGACCTAGAAGTATGGGCTCCCGGCTACATCCTGGACCAATCCTGCCTATTGCAGCTGCTTGGAGAGTGACTCAGTGGATGGAAGACCTCTTTCTCTGTCTTCTTTCTCTGATTTTCAAAGAAAGAAGTCTTCAAAGAGAAAAATATCAAGGGGTAGACTACCAAAGGTGGGAGCTATGACATGGCAGGGGCAGGTACTCACCACCCACACGGACGTGATGGGCCTCTGGTGGTCCTGGAAGGCTGCCAGCTGCAGGCCGTGGATGCTGAACAGCACCAGCTGCAGTCCCGAGACCAGCAGGAGCACCTGCGAGCCATGGCTCCTCATGAGGTTTGGAGGCTTTACGCTGTCTGGCAACAGGAAGCTGGCAATCTGTTGTACTTTTTGAAATTAAAAAAGAGAAAAACAGGTGGGTTTCCCTGATACAGACACAGGCCTCACCTAAGACATGTGGTACACTGAAAAAACAAACAGCTTTGCAGTTAGACCTGCATTCAATCCTAATCCATGCAATTCTTCTACCAAGTCCCCCAGGCGGCAGCTCAAAACTACTGCTGCTTATGGCTCACTGACGAGCAGCAGCAAAGACTCAATGTCCTCTGTGTGTGTGGAAGTGACTAGCACAACACGCAACATGGAGGAAGGGTTGAATAGCTCTAACCCAAATATCCAAAATCTAACACTGTGTCAACATGATGAGGCACAAACAGAAAACGCCACGCTTGACCTCTGATGGATTAACACGTACAAAATGACTTAGAGCACTTATTAAATAAAGTCCTTATGGGATTATTATTAGGCCATAGGTTTAAAACATATATGAAACACTTTAATCTTCTGTTTAGTCTTAGGTCCCATGCCCAAGATAACTCACTGTATATCAGGTAAACATTCCAAAATCAAGGTGGAAAATCCAAGAATCAAAACACTTCCAGGTGTAAATATTTTGGGACAGGGATACCAACTTGGACTATGAAGAAATGCGGCTCTCTTCCTTCTGTGCTTCCTCCCAGGTATGTCTAGGTCATGTCAGAAATGGCCACAGGACACCTATGTGACATGGATGACATCTGCTAAAAATTACTGCTGAGGAAACTGTCCTTTGTACTGTGTAGGATTCCTTTTGACCAAGAAAAAAAAAATGTCCTTGTGAAGATTCCATGTTTTCCCATATCAGTCACAGGATGTGTTACACATGTTTTTTTTTTTTTTTGCATTTTCCCTCAGCTGCCAGGAATCTCAGAGTGCAAATGTTGGTCAAATTATGGACATGAAAACAAATGGGTAGAATACAATAGAAAACATGGGAGAATCGTAAGGAAGGTTTCGGGGAGCAATGCAAGGCCTGGGAAATAGAGTAGAGGGCCTTTCATTGGAGGAAAGGGCAATCAGAGTAATGGAGGCAGAAAGGTAAGTCAGGAGAGGGCAGGCTAAGAGCATCTGAATGCCAGGGCCACACAGGGTGCCAAACTCAAACCAAGTGCACCACTACTCAACCAGTGCCCTAATCAAATCACAGCAGGAGGCCACTCTACCATCTCCTGAGTCTTTCCCAAAGGGAAACTGGCAAAGAGTCATGCTGCAGTGGTGGGGACACACCTGCTGGCCTGCTGGGACCAGCACAGGGACCCTTACCCACAATCTCCACTTCTTGCTTGGACTTCTTGGCCCTTAGCTCATAGGTGCTGACCACCAGCTGCATGCTATTGCCATCTGGGTGCATGACAATCAACCTGGCCGCCTCAGCAGGAGCCCAGCAGGCTTGGGGTCTCAGGCAGCTGGAGAAGGTGGTCAAGACGGGAGGCTCATCGTCCAATGGGTACACCAGAGAGGCTGTGTGGAACACCTGGGGAAGACACCCCTACACAGTCACGCGGCTTCCCAGAGCCAAGCACACGGCAGCACCCAAGCACACAGCACCGCCGCTTCTCATGCCCACATGCATCTTGTGGGGCGGCCCAGGCCAGCTGCACATGCTTTCCACATCAGACCCGACCGGTGGCCTCCCTGCACTCAGCTGCTCTTCCTTGACCACTCACGCCTCACTTGCAGGCCTGATGAAGCTCTCAGCCCTTCCAGCCCTGCCACTCTCCTTGCTCTGACCGCCTTCTTTGACACACTACAGCCAGCAGTCTGCTTCCTGTCGTCAATCAGGCAGCTCGCCTCCTGCACATGAACAGGCGTGTGTGTCTACATGGAGTCAGAACTCTAACTCCCGGGCACGCAGAGGATGGGGATGAGGCACCCACTCACAAATGCAACACAAGGAACACAGCCCAGCTGCAACACTGCCTTCTGCATCAGTGCACGCACCTTCCGTGCCACCAGGATATTCTCCACACCTGACCTGCCCACCCCTCCTAACTTTCAGACACTCAAGCAGTTCCTGAGAAGTTCCACCAAGATCCTCGGACCCCCAACTGTTCTGAATCGACCCCTACTCAGCCGACTCACAGCCAAAAAGCACAGGCTGCAGTGGCATGAGCCAGGTCCAGGAGTGGACTCTGCTAGGGTGAACAGACCTGGGCAAAGGACAGAATGCAACTCACAGTGAGCAACACTCCAGCAGGCTCCACCCGCCAGGCTGTGCCTATGCTCCTGCACAAGCAGCTGCCTTGAGTCCACAGCTCACAACTCCTGGAGTACAGAGCCTTTTCCTCCTCCCAGGAAGCCAGGCTCCAACGAGAAGGGCTCACAAAGCACTGACCTTCGGCTCAAGGTCTGAATTCTGACTTGACGCAAACACCCACTGGCAGTCAGGAGAAGACAGGAGCTGCACGGGAACATTGGGAAATGCAGTCACTCTGGAGACCAGCTGCAGCTGAGGCAGCATCAGAGCGTAGAGGTTCCCCTCAGCACAGGCTGCCTGCGAAGAGAAACAACCCAACTGCTGATGATCAGGTTCCATGGAACAGGGGGAAGAAGGGATGTCTATAAATAATAAGAATGTACTGTGTGTATCAGCCCCGGCCCAGCCATGGATTAGCACCTGCCAGCCCTGAATCAGCCCCGGCACAGCCCCTGCCGAGCCCCGGCCAAACCCAAGCCCACCCCTGGCTCAGCCCCAGCTCAGCCCCAGCCCAGCCCCAGCCCAGCCCCAGCCCAGCCCCTGCCCAGCCCCAGATCATCCCCAGTCCAGCCCCATATCAGTCCCAGAAAGCCCCTGCCCAGACCCAACCCAGACTCGGCCCAGACCCAGCCCAGCCCCGGCCCAGCCCCAGCACAGCCCCAGCTCCGCCCCTGCCCAGCCCCTGCCAAGCCCCAGCCCAGCCCCGGATCCGCCCTGGCTCAGCCCCTGCTCAACCCCGGCCCAGCCCCGGCCCAGCCTCACCCCAGCCCCTGCTCCACCCCTGCTCAGCCCCTGCCCAGCCCCTGCTCAGCCCCAGCCCAGCCCTGGCTCAGCCCTGGCTCAGCCCCTGCCCAGCCCCAGCCCAGCCTCAGCCCAACCCCGGCCCAGCCCTGGATCAGCCCCTGCCAGCCCTGATTCAGCCCCGGCCCCGCCCGGGCCCACCCCGGCCCAGCCTCGGCCCACCACCGGCCCACCCCTGGCTCAGCCCCGGCTCAGCCCCTTCTCAGCCCCTGCCCAGCCCCAGCCCAGCCCCAGCTCTGCCCCGGTCCAGCCCCGGATCAGCCCTGGCCAAGCCCCGGCCAGACCATGCTGTGTCCCTGCCCAGCCCTGCAATAGCCCTGGATTAGCCCTGGCCCAACCCCGGCTCCGAACCCGACCCAGCCCTGAATCAGCCCCGGACCAGCCATGGTCAGCTCCTACCCAGCCCTGGATCAGCCCCGAACCAGCCCCAGACCAGCCCCAGACCAGCCCCAGACCAGCCCCAGACCAGCCCCGTCAAAGCCCAGTTCTCCCCAGCCCAGCCCCAGCCCCAGCCCTGCCCAGCCTCGACCCAGCCCCTGCCCAGCACCGGCCCAGCCTCAACACAGCCCTTGCCTAGCCCCGACCAGCCCCAGCCCAGTGTGGCCCAACCCCAACCCAGCCCCATCCTAACCCCTGCCCAGCCCCAATGCAGCCCCAGCCCAGCCCCGCCCCAACCAGCCATGGTTCAGCTGCAGCCCAGCCCTGGCCCAGACCAAAATCAGCCTCGGACCAGTCCTGGATCAGTCCCGGCCAAGCCCTGACCCAGCCCCGGACTAGACCCAGCCCATGCCTGGATCCAGCCCCTGCCCAGATCTGCCCTGCCCCGGCCAAGCCCCAGCCCAGCCCAGCCCAGCCATGGCCCAGCCCAGGATCAGCCACGGCCTAGCCCTGGATCAGCCTCGGCCCAGCCCTTACAACTAACAATTTTGCTTACAACTAACAATTGGGAAATTCTCATTAGCCCAAGCAAAGTACCTATGCTGACCAATTCCAGGCAGGGCCATTGAGGCTAAAGCAAGAATGGCAGACCTTAAGTCATCAAGCAGTACCATAGTTACCAATGCTGCAGCAGCAAAAACTACGTGTTCATGTGAACAAAAGCACACAAGACAGATTAGAGAAAAATATGTATTTAACTACAGAATTGGACAACAACAACAACAACAACACATCATAATCCCAGTACATTCAATGTGCACTTGTCAGTACCCACACACTTAAGTTACCCATTCTCTGTCTCTTACTGTCTCTATGGGCTTGTGCAAGCTGCTCAGCAGCTCCAAGATGGGCTACTAACAGGCTCCTTCTCTCATTCTGTGTTCCTTGTGTAAAAAGCAGGAACAATAGCACCTGTTTCACTGGCTTGCTGACAGAATTCAAGAGCAAAGCCATTGCCGGTGCCTGGGACAGTGTCGACATCTAGGCATTTCTCATTCCTTTCCCAATACCCATGACATAACCCATTCAGTCTTTGTATCTCTACAAGCCCTTTTACCAAAGTGAAAATATCTTGGATATGGTGCAGTCCTCTCAGCCACGCTCCACTTTGAAGCAGAATGACCTCAGAACACTCGTTCCAACGCTTCTGGCTTCTATGCCTACGATACTCATGCTGTCACTTTCCACATGCATGTACCCACTGCAAAGAGAAGGGCCAGGCTGGGTGTCAAGGGGAGAAAAGGCAAACATGGAAGTGGTCAAAGCCTTCCCATGGAGGCGGGGCCCAGCTTCCCCCAGCAGCTGCCATCCCACCTCGCCTTCCCTTGGCCTTTGACTCTGCAACAGTGAACAAGTGCTGGCACACTGTCTGGTGGGAGCAGTGGTTCTGGCTCCTCCTGACAGTGGCTGCTTCAGTCACACTGTCTCCAGACATGCTAGGAAATTCTGAGAGAGGAGCAGGGGGACTGGTCTCATCTCAGCAATTCTAAGCTAGCGCCCCACAATTTAGAATTGTCAATTCCTATGAGTCAGATGATTTCTTTGATGAAGGAGATGAACTACGTGAGCTGGAAAGGTACACTTGTTTTCTTCCATAAAGTCAGAATCAGGACCTAGCACAGGTCTGGCTGCCATCTCTAGGGAACGCATCCACATCTATATGTTCGTTTTCATCTGCAACACAGGTGCAATGCCAGCTGTATGAGGTAGTTTGCACACTACAGATGCACAGCCTTGGTTAGCAAGCTGGTTTCCTAACAGGGAACAGAATGTGACCAGTCATTTGCCCATTGACTGGGTCTATCTAGGTCTTCAAATTCTAGAACACCCTTGCAATATTTCCTTGTCAAACACTTTTTGAGCATGCCATGCAAAGTCATTTTATAGGCAAAGTAAGGAAGAACAGAAACAATTACCTGGCCCATCGGTGAGATCCCCCAAGCAAGTGATAGCAGCTCTTGAGGACCGGGAACTTGTTCTCCTTCTTCCACACATAGACACGCAAAGAGAGATCAAGCGATGAGGTGATTACTCGGCTTGGGTCCTGGAAATGAAAAGTCAAGAGGGCCGGCATGATGTGGCAGCTTAAACCACTTGGAACACAGGCATCCCACACTACAGAGTCCTCTACTGACACAGCTCCCTGCCAATAGATCTGGGAAAGCAGCACAAGATGGTCCAAGAACTTGGGCCCCTGCCACCCAAGAGGAAGACCTAGAAGTATGGGCTCCCGGCTACATCCTGGACCAATCCTGCCTATTGCAGCTGCTTGGAGAGTGACTCAGTGGATGGAAGACCTCTTTCTCTGTCTTCTTTCTCTGATTTTCAAAGAAAGAAGTCTTCAAAGAGAAAAATATCAAGGGGTAGACTACCAAAGGTGGGAGCTATGACATGGCAGGGGCAGGTACTCACCACCCACACGGACGTGATGGGCCTCTGGTGGTCCTGGAAGGCTGCCAGCTGCAGGCCGTGGATGCTGAACAGCACCAGCTGCAGTCCCGAGACCAGCAGGAGCACCTGCGAGCCATGGCTCCTCATGAGGTTTGGAGGCTTTACGCTGTCTGGCAACAGGAAGCTGGCAATCTGTTGTACTTTTTGAAATTAAAAAAGAGAAAAACAGGTGGGTTTCCCTGATACAGACACAGGCCTCACCTAAGACATGTGGTACACTGAAAAAACAAACAGCTTTGCAGTTAGACCTGCATTCAATCCTAATCCATGCAATTCTTCTACCAAGTCCCCCAGGCGGCAGCTCAAAACTACTGCTGCTTATGGCTCACTGACGAGCAGCAGCAGACTCAATGTCCTCTGTGTGTGTGGAAGCGACTAGCACAACACGCAACACGGAGGAGGGGTTGAATAGCTCTAACCCAAATATCCAAAATCTAACACTGTGTCAACATGATGAGGCACAAACAGAAAACGCCACGCTTGACCTCTGATGGATTAACACGTACAAAATGACTTAGAGCACTTATTAAATAAAGTCCTTATGGGATTATTATTAGGTCATAGGTTTAAAACATATATGAAACACTTTAATCTTCTGTTTAGTCTTAGGTCCCATGCCCAAGATAACTCACTGTATATCAGGTAAACATTCCAAAATCAAGGTGGAAAATCCAAGAATCAAAACACTTCCAGGTGTAAATATTTTGGGACAGGGATACCAACTTGGACTATGAAGAAATGCGGCTCTCTTCCTTCTGTGCTTCCTCCCAGGTATGTCTAGGTCATGTCAGAAATGGCCACAGGACACCTATGTGACATGGATGACATCTGCTAAAAATTACTGCTGAGGAAACTGTCCTTTGTACTGTGTAGGATTCCTTTTGACCAAGAAAAAAAAAATGTCCTTGTGAAGATTCCATGTTTTCCCATATCAGTCACAGGATGTGTTACACACGTTCTTTTTTTTTTTTTTTTTTTTTTTTTTGCATTTTCCCTCAGCTGCCAGGAATCTCAGAGTGCAAATGTTGGTCAAATTATGGACATGAAAACAAATGGGTAGAATACAATAGAAAACATGGGAGAATCGTAAGGAAGGTTTGGGGGAGCAATGCAAGGCCTGGGAAATAGAGTAGAGGGCCTTTCATTGGAGGAAAGGGCAATCAGAGTAATGGAGGCAGAAAGGTAAGTCAGGAGAGGGCAGGCTAAGAGCATCTGAATGCCAGGGCCACACAGGGTGCCAAACTCAAACCAAGTGCACCACTACTCAACCAGTGCATCAAATCACAGCAGGAGGCCACTCTACCATCTTCTGAGTCTTTCCCAAAGGGAAACTGGCAAAGAGTCATGCTGCAGTGGTGGGGACACACCTGCTGGCCTGCTGGGACCAGCACAGGGACCCTTACCCACAATCTCCACTTCTTGCTTGGACTTCTTGGCCCTTAGCTCATAGGTGCTGACCACCAGCTGCATGCTATTGCCATCTGGGTGCATGACAATCAACCTGGCCGCCTCAGCAGGAGCCCAGCAGGCTTGGGGTCTCAGGCAGCTGGAGAAGGTGGTCAAGACGGGAGGCTCATCGTCCAATGGGTACACCAGAGAGGCTGTGTGGAACACCTGGGGAAGACACCCCTACACAGTCACGCGGCTTCCCAGAGCCAAGCACACGGCAGCACCCAAGCACACAGCACCGCCGCTTCTCACGCCCACATGCATCTTGTGGGGCGGCCCAGGCCAGCTGCACATGCTTTCCACATCAGACCCGACCGGTGGCCTCCCTGCACTCAGCTGCTCTTCCTTGACCACTCACGCCTCACTTGCAGGCCTGATGAAGCTCTCAGCCCTTCCAGCCCTGCCACTCTCCTTGCTCTGACCGCCTTCTTTGACACACTACAGCCAGCAGTCTGCTTCCTGTCGTCAATCAGGCAGCTCGCCTCCTGCACATGAACAGGCGTGTGTGTCTACATGGAGTCAGAACTCTAACTCCCGGGCACGCAGAGGATGGGGATGAGGCACCCACTCACAAATGCAACACAAGGAACACAGCCCAGCTGCAACACTGCCTTCTGCATCAGTGCACGCACCTTCCGTGCCACCAGGATATTCTCCACACCTGACCTGCCCACCCCTCCTAACTTTCAGACACTCAAGCAGTTCCTGAGAAGTTCCACCAAGATCCTCGGACCCCCAACTGTTCTGAATCGACCCCTACTCAGCCGACTCACAGCCAAAAAGCACAGGCTGCAGTGGCATGAGCCAGGTCCAGGAGTGGACTCTGCTAGGGTGAACAGACCTGGGCAAAGGACAGAATGCAACTCACAGTGAGCAACACTCCAGCAGGCTCCACCCGCCAGGCTGTGCCTATGCTCCTGCACAAGCAGCTGCCTTGAGTCCACAGCTCACAACTCCTGGAGTACAGAGCCTTTTCCTCCTCCCAGGAAGCCAGGCTCCAACGAGAAGGGCTCACAAAGCACTGACCTTCGGCTCAAGGTCTGAATTCTGACTTGACGCAAACACCCACTGGCAGTCAGGAGAAGACAGGAGCTGCACGGGAACATTGGGAAATGCAGTCACTCTGGAGACCAGCTGCAGCTGAGGCAGCATCAGAGCGTAGAGGTTCCCCTCAGCACAGGCTGCCTGCGAAGAGAAACAACCCAACTGCTGATGATCAGGTTCCATGGAACAGGGGGAAGAAGGGATGTCTATAAATAATAAGAATGTACTGTGTGTATCAGCCCCGGCCCAGCCATGGATTAGCACCTGCCAGCCCTGAATCAGCCCCGGCACAGCCCCTGCCGAGCCCCGGCCAAACCCAAGCCCACCCCTGGCTCAGCCCCAGCTCAGCCCCAGCCCAGCCCCAGCCCAGCCCCAGCCCAGCCCCTGCCCAGCCCCAGATCATCCCCAGTCCAGCCCCATATCAGCCCCAGAAAGCCCCTGCCCAGACCCAACCCAGACTCGGCCCAGACCCAGCCCAGCCCCGGCCCAGCCCCAGCACAGCCCCAGCTCCGCCCCTGCCCAGCCCCTGCCAAGCCCCAGCCCAGCCCCGGATCCGCCCTGGCTCAGCCCCTGCTCAACCCCGGCCCAGCCCCGGCCCAGCCTCACCCCAGCCCCTGCTCCACCCCTGCGCAGCCCCTGCCCAGCCCCTGCTCAGCCCCAGCCCAGCCCTGGCTCAGCCCTGGCTCAGCCCCTGCCCAGCCCCAGCCCAGCCTCAGCCCAACCCCGGCCCAGCCCTGGATCAGCCCCTGCCAGCCCTGATTCAGCCCCGGCCCCGCCCGGGCCCACCCCGGCCCAGCCTCGGCCCACCACCGGCCCACCCCTGGCTCAGCCCCGGCTCAGCCCCTTCTCAGCCCCTGCCCAGCCCCAGCCCAGCCCCAGCTCTGCCCCGGTCCAGCCCCGGATCAGCCCTGGCCAAGCCCCGGCCAGACCATGCTGTGTCCCTGCCCAGCCCTGCAATAGCCCTGGATTAGCCCTGGCCCAACCCCGGCTCCGAACCCGACCCAGCCCTGAATCAGCCCCGGACCAGCCATGGTCAGCTCCTACCCAGCCCTGGATCAGCCCCGAACCAGCCCCAGACCAGCCCCAGACCAGCCCCAGACCAGCCCCGTCAAAGCCCAGTTCTCCCCAGCCCAGCCCCAGCCCAGCCCTGCCCAGCCTCGACCCAGCCCCTGCCCAGCACCGGCCCAGCCTCAACACAGCCCTTGCCTAGCCCCGACCAGCCCCAGCCCAGTGTGGCCCAACCCCAACCCAGCCCCATCCTAACCCCTGCCCAGCCCCAATGCAGCCCCAGCCCAGCCCCGCCCCAACCAGCCATGGTTCAGCTGCAGCCCAGCCCTGGCCCAGACCAAAATCAGCCTCGGACCAGTCCTGGATCAGTCCCGGCCAAGCCCTGACCCAGCCCCGGACTAGACCCAGCCCATGCCTGGATCCAGCCCCTGCCCAGATCTGCCCTGCCCCGGCCAAGCCCCAGCCCAGCCCAGCCCAGCCATGGCCCAGCCCAGGATCAGCCACGGCCTAGCCCTGGATCAGCCTCGGCCCAGCCCTTACAACTAACAATTTTGCTTACAACTAACAATTGGGAAATTCTCATTAGCCCAAGCAAAGTACCTATGCTGACCAATTCCAGGCAGGGCCATTGAGGCTAAAGCAAGAATGGCAGACCTTAAGTCATCAAGCAGTACCATAGTTACCAATGCTGCAGCAGCAAAAACTACGTGTTCATGTGAACAAAAGCACACAAGACAGATTAGAGAAAAATATGTATTTAACTACAGAATTGGACAACAACAACAACAACAACACATCATAATCCCAGTACATTCAATGTGCACTTGTCAGTACCCACACACTTAAGTTACCCATTCTCTGTCTCTTACTGTCTCTATGGGCTTGTGCAAGCTGCTCAGCAGCTCCAAGATGGGCTACTAACAGGCTCCTTCTCTCATTCTGTGTTCCTTGTGTAAAAAGCAGGAACAATAGCACCTGTTTCACTGGCTTGCTGACAGAATTCAAGAGCAAAGCCATTGCCGGTGCCTGGGACAGTGTCGACATCTAGGCATTTCTCATTCCTTTCCCAATACCCATGACATAACCCATTCAGTCTTTGTATCTCTACAAGCCCTTTTACCAAAGTGAAAATATCTTGGATATGGTGCAGTCCTCTCAGCCACGCTCCACTTTGAAGCAGAATGACCTCAGAACACTCGTTCCAACGCTTCTGGCTTCTATGCCTACGATACTCATGCTGTCACTTTCCACATGCATGTACCCACTGCAAAGAGAAGGGCCAGGCTGGGTGTCAAGGGGAGAAAAGGCAAACATGGAAGTGGTCAAAGCCTTCCCATGGAGGCGGGGCCCAGCTTCCCCCAGCAGCTGCCATCCCACCTCGCCTTCCCTTGGCCTTTGACTCTGCAACAGTGAACAAGTGCTGGCACACTGTCTGGTGGGAGCAGTGGTTCTGGCTCCTCCTGACAGTGGCTGCTTCAGTCACACTGTCTCCAGACATGCTAGGAAATTCTGAGAGAGGAGCAGGGGGACTGGTCTCATCTCAGCAATTCTAAGCTAGCGCCCCACAATTTAGAATTGTCAATTCCTATGAGTCAGATGATTTCTTTGATGAAGGAGATGAACTACGTGAGCTGGAAAGGTACACTTGTTTTCTTCCATAAAGTCAGAATCAGGACCTAGCACAGGTCTGGCTGCCATCTCTAGGGAACGCATCCACATCTATATGTTCGTTTTCATCTGCAACACAGGTGCAATGCCAGCTGTATGAGGTAGTTTGCACACTACAGATGCACAGCCTTGGTTAGCAAGCTGGTTTCCTAACAGGGAACAGAATGTGACCAGTCATTTGCCCATTGACTGGGTCTATCTAGGTCTTCAAATTCTAGAACACCCTTGCAATATTTCCTTGTCAAACACTTTTTGAGCATGCCATGCAAAGTCATTTTATAGGCAAAGTAAGGAAGAACAGAAACAATTACCTGGCCCATCGGTGAGATCCCCCAAGCAAGTGATAGCAGCTCTTGAGGACCGGGAACTTGTTCTCCTTCTTCCACACATAGACACGCAAAGAGAGATCAAGCGATGAGGTGATTACTCGGCTTGGGTCCTGGAAATGAAAAGTCAAGAGGGCCGGCATGATGTGGCAGCTTAAACCACTTGGAACACAGGCATCCCACACTACAGAGTCCTCTACTGACACAGCTCCCTGCCAATAGATCTGGGAAAGCAGCACAAGATGGTCCAAGAACTTGGGCCCCTGCCACCCAAGAGGAAGACCTAGAAGTATGGGCTCCCGGCTACATCCTGGACCAATCCTGCCTATTGCAGCTGCTTGGAGAGTGACTCAGTGGATGGAAGACCTCTTTCTCTGTCTTCTTTCTCTGATTTTCAAAGAAAGAAGTCTTCAAAGAGAAAAATATCAAGGGGTAGACTACCAAAGGTGGGAGCTATGACATGGCAGGGGCAGGTACTCACCACCCACACGGACGTGATGGGCCTCTGGTGGTCCTGGAAGGCTGCCAGCTGCAGGCCGTGGATGCTGAACAGCACCAGCTGCAGTCCCGAGACCAGCAGGAGCACCTGCGAGCCATGGCTCCTCATGAGGTTTGGAGGCTTTACGCTGTCTGGCAACAGGAAGCTGGCAATCTGTTGTACTTTTTGAAATTAAAAAAGAGAAAAACAGGTGGGTTTCCCTGATACAGACACAGGCCTCACCTAAGACATGTGGTACACTGAAAAAACAAACAGCTTTGCAGTTAGACCTGCATTCAATCCTAATCCATGCAATTCTTCTACCAAGTCCCCCAGGCGGCAGCTCAAAACTACTGCTGCTTATGGCTCACTGACGAGCAGCAGCAAAGACTCAATGTCCTCTGTGTGTGTGGAAGTGACTAGCACAACACGCAACATGGAGGAAGGGTTGAATAGCTCTAACCCAAATATCCAAAATCTAACACTGTGTCAACATG